TAAACCCTAAACCCTAAACCCTAAACCCTAAACCCTAAGCCCTAAACCCTAAACCCTAAGCCCTAAACCCTGAACCCTAAACCCTAAACCCAGACTCTTCACACCAGCTTCTTCATTGGGGTGGAACATGAGCTCTTCAGGTTTCGAAGGATGCGGCCGCGAGCACAGCAGCCGGGACAGGCCGGGGCATCCATTCCGACTTCTGGGATTTGGGGTTTCAACCCCAAAACCCTCACTTGGGTTTAGGGTTTAGGGTTTGGGGTTTAGGGTTTAGGGTTTAGGGCTTAGGGTTTAGGGTGAAACGATTGAAAGCCAGAGCCCAGGGCTTTTTTGATACCCCCCCAGCAACACGTTTCAGGTCACAACACGCCCACTGGCGCTGCTAGCACCCGATCCGATGCCAAAGAACCAGCAAGGCGCGCCAGAGGGGTCAGACGGAACACTAAACCCTACGCTGGATTTTAGGGTTTAGGGTTTAGGGTTTAGGGTTTAGGGGTTAGGGTTTAGGGGTTAGGGTTTAGTGGTTTAGGGTAAATTATAAGAGGGTTTAGGGCTTAGGGTGAGGGTTTAGGGTGCATCATAAGAGGGTGAATCATAAGAGGGTGAATCATAACAGGGTGAATCATAAGAGGGATCCCAATCCTAGATTACCTTCGAGTTGGAATAGGGATCCTAATGAAAAGTTTCCGAAGCCCGAAACAGGAACCCTCAACCCCCTCTCTCCCCCCCCCCCCCCCCCCAACACAAAAAAAAGAAAGAAGGAAGAAAGGAAAGAGCTCAAAGCAGTTCAAGTATGCAGAAGCCCACGTCATTCCGAAACAGCGGTGGAAGAGCAGCTATGTATGAGCAGCCATATATTCTTAGAGTCTTAGATTTACTATATTATCATATTATTACAATAGTATACATCTTATAGTCTTTCTATATTAGTATATTACTATCAAATTATATTAGTATATTACTATCAAATTAGGTTTCTTTATTAAGATGCTACTACATAATTTGTATGTTCTTACTTCACGAGAATTTTGAAGTTATTAAACCAATATTCGTATCATAATTTTGATATTTTCTACTACTTGACTATTCTGGTAGTATACATGCTAGAGTAGTATATCAACTTCTGTCTATCATTGTATTGTTAGGATGCCGACATGTGCATGCACAAGCACTCTGAGCAGGTTCGGTATCACCCTCCCGGCCACCACGCAGGCCTGTCCAAGCGATGGGAGCCAGGGTTTAGGGCCTCTGCGCATTTTCCACATACTTGGAAGCTCTTTTAACTTAGTAAGTAGGGTTCGTAAGTTGGGTTATGGGGAATACATGAGGGCTTCTGGGGGATACTAAGTAGACATACTAAGTCAAAAGAGCTTCCAAGTAGTTCCCACCTACCCGAATCGATCATGCGGAGGTCCACCAGGTTTGCGGATTAGAGGGGTTTCGGGCCGCAGGCCCTTCTTTCGGGTGGGCGGCTCCCTGTGTTGCGTGGCATCTCTGGAAATTCACTGTCAGTACACGGCCATATGTCACGTGCCAAGAGTTGCAGATGTCTCCGTCGGCCGAGGGACCGACAGAGGCGGAGTTGCTTGCCAGCGAAGCTTTGAAGCAGGCAGCCGGCTGATGGTTTGGAAGGTTTAGGGTTTAGGGTTTAGGGTTTACGGTTTAGGGTTTAGGGTTTAGGGTTTAGGGTTTAGGGTTTAGGGTTTAGGGTTTAGGGTTTAGGGTGTTTGGAGTTTAATTCATGATTTGCAGTATTAGCATCGCCGGTATCGTGCATCCCTACTTGAAGGTTCATAGGTAATGTTGAAGTGTAGAAGCGCTACATTCTTCTTTCCAGCCCCGAGTAACGTAGGAGCTGGAGATCGACTTCCCGCGTGAGACGCAGAAGGGTCTCGCAAAGCGCGAGGAGGTCCTCCAGGAGACGCGAGAGCTACCACTGCCCTTCAACGCCGGAAAAGCATCAGATGCGCATCACAGGGTTTAGTGTTTATTTAGGGTTTACGGTTTCGGGTTTAGGGAGATTCAGTGTTAAGGGTTGAGGGCTTTAGGGTTCTGCAGTTCAGGGTCGAGGCTTCTTTTTCTTGGCATGATTCTTCGGTCTGGAGAGTGGTTCTCTTCTTGGCACCCTAAACCCTAAACCCTAAACCCTAAACCCTAAACCCTAAACCCTAAACCCTAAACCCTAAACCCTAAACCCTAAACCCTAAACCCTAAACCCGAGATCCTAGACCCATGAAGGAGCTCCAGCGCATCATCTCTGAGTGGATCTCGGAGGAGGGCCGAGCGCAAGGCCGGGAAGGTTAAGGACCCCCTAGGGGCCTTCGGGGTTGCATTGCTACTCGGAGGGCTTGTTTAGGGCTTTGGGTTTAGGGCTTTTTAGGGCGTGAGAGGTCAGTTCTGCATTTTGGTGCCCTTGTGGGTCCCTGTTAGACTACCGAGCCTTGTGTTTCGACTTTCGGGTGTGCCACTGAGGGACCATAAGGGCAAATGCTGCGGCGTCGACCTCGGCCCGAAAATCTGGGCGCCGAAACACCCTGGAAGATTCCTGGGGTTATTGGCTGAAATCCGTGGCTCGGCTCGGAGGCTCAATCCTGTGGCTCTGTGGCTAACAAGAGCAGGGTACCCTTTTGCCTCGGTCACTCTTGGTGGTTTTTGTAGGGTTCGGTTCCCTTTCAAACAAGAAAAGGGTATCCCTTTCTTTGCCTAGGCCACGCTTGGACGCAGCCCGCCCAACACCAAGCGGGACCCTGGGGACCCCAAACCCGAAGCCTAAACACTCAAATGGTGAGCAGGGGTCGCCTTTGGAATCTCTGACGGTCACGACCGGGACCAAGGCGAACG